CCAAAACCATGGCTTGGACCCTACTGATGTCCAAGATGACATCTCTCGAAATATGACCTGACCTGATGACGACTGAGACTCACCCTCAGGGGATCCTGAGGACCTGAGGATCTGAGGACCTGAGGACCTGAGGATCTGAGAGAAAACTGGGGAGTGATGTTTATATTTTTAAAATCATACATTGATGAGTGCTAAATGAGACAGATACTCATGATAGCTTCTGGACATCTGATGATCTATTGGACACAGACATTTGCAGAATAAGAACCAGCCAATGAAAAATCGTCTATTGCCGATGCTATTGCTACAACCAGAACCACAACTGTGACAAATGCAACACATAGAAAGTATTCAGACATCTGACGGACAAAAACTTTGACTTTTTAGTCTGGGAGACTGAGCAACTGTTAAAATGTTTTAAAATGATAAAGTATGAGTATTGTAGCGTTTTATTAGATGTTAAATAGTAGTAAAAAAGTAGAATTGATTTCCTTTGTTGTTCATAAACACATTTCCACATAAGAGTTAAAATAGTACCATACAATGTTATCCTTCTGATAGAGCAGCTAAACTGTTAGAATCAGAATTATGTTACAGCCATTAAAAGTGACAGAAGTCACAAACTAGAAATATGCCTTGACTCAAGCTGCAACCGAGCTTTAGAGTCAAAATAGAGATAGATAAAAGCATCAACCATAAAATAGAGATTATTTCTAGCCATTGCTAATATTTGAATTGTAAAAGGAGCATTTCCTTCAAAAGTAGATGAAGTTCATTACAGTTTATGCACAGTTTTATTAAATACTTGTCAAATTCACTTGTGTTCAAACATTGGTGAATGTTGACAATGCAAAAAGTTCATGAGTGTAGCCTAGATTAATGTAGCTCAGATTAAGGAGATAGATTAGAACCAAGAGAGATCCAAAAGCATTTAAAAGCATTTTGATGTATTTGTGTATAGCACAAAAACAAAAAGTAGATATTTAGATATTGAGAAGTTTGAAAGCTGTCGATTCACCAGCACAGATTAGAGAATCAAACACCATTGTAGAATAACTGACCCCAAACCTGCTAAAATAGATTAGCTCTTGTAAGGATAATACTAATTTGATTATTGATGTACAATCATCCCAAACTGCCTGAGAGGAGGAAGTGACAGCAATTCCTGGTTCAACAAATGTATTTGGAAAACTGACCGCCATAATAATGTTCATATGAACCATTTGTCTTTCTGTGTTCACAGTTTTATTCCTGAGAATGTAGAATAGACATAGAGCAAAATCCCACTGACACAAAGCCACTGATAATGAAAGTAAACCACAGAGAGATTTATTAGATTAAAATGTATGTTTAAGAATATGGCTCAATAAAAATATGCAAACATATTTGCAAATAGATTAGAATAGTTTTAAACTATAGTGAATCATAAAAGTAAAGTACACAGTCTAAGATTAAAAAGTGAAAATAATACAGTGAAGTGTAGTGTAAACAATTATCATTAGAATAAAAGTATAGAGTAATAAAAGTGAAATAAGCTTCTAAATTGAGACTCAGCTCGTTTTTGTCTGTGTTTTGACGGAATCTGCCGAGTTCTACTGTGTCCAATAGTTTTTTTATTTTTGATTTGTTTTTATTTTTTGTTTGTTTTTATTTTTGTTTGTTTTTGTTTTTTGTTTATTTATTAATTTTTTTGGTTTTGTTTTTTTTCCCAGGATAGAGGATAAAATCCACTGATATTGATTTGATGATTATAAGTTTTAATAATTTTTTAAATTTTTTTCACTTTATTGATTGATCAAATTGAGTGATCACATGTGATTATCTGATCAAAGGGGTGAGTGTTAGTATTAGATAGCAATATGGCCTACGTGCAGGACTGTACAAGGACTCTGATTATTTTGACTCTGATGTGACTGTCTCTGTGTGACACGTCTTTCCATGTGTGACGTGAAAATGACTATATAAACTGTGTACTGACTTTATTCTGTCTGAGAGAAGGAAACAATGGAAACCAGTGGAACTTGAGAGAAACTTAAATAAACTTCCAGAGTTTGGCGCACCACGATCCGTCTCTGTCTGCTTCATCCCTGACATTGTTTAACAGTAGAACTCAGAGCAGTCAATTTGACGGGTCTTCGTTATGAAAGTGATTGCTCAACGTGTGCAGCTTTTTTGATCTTCCTGAATTTGTGACTTTTTCTGCATCGATGTAGTTATTTCTTTGTCTCTGTTTTTATGAAGTCTAATTATAACCAACTCCACCAGCGCTAGTTACGACGACAACACACGGCACGGTGGCTGAGTGGATTGCACTCTCGCCTCTCAGCAAGAAGATCCTGGGTTCGAATCCCGGTCAGAACAGGGTCTTTCTGAGTGGAGTTTGCATGTTTTCCCCATGCCTGCGTAGGTTTCCTCCAGGTGCTCCGGTTTCCCCTACCACTAAAGACATGCACACTAGGTTAAATCCTCCAGCTCCGGTCCTGACCAAGCCGAGCATCAACATCTGGAGATGGGTTCCCGGGCGCTGTTACTGCGGCGACCACTGCTCCTGACGTAAGCCTGGGTGGCATCAGGATGGGTCAAATGCAGAGGAGGAATTGTCCTACGGGGATTAGTAAAGTGCACCTTTACACTGTTTACTGTTAGCATTTTGTAGCCTTCAAACACATTTTTGAGCCTTTTCAGTTTGTTCTCAGCAGTTTTAGCATTTGTTAAAGGTACAAACTTTATAGATTACCTACTTTTATTAAAACTGGTGTGAAACTAAAAGATTTTGGGTGGAATCTTTTAGTATCCCATTGAGCAGTCAAAATGACGGCTCTGTGAGTAACTACACCTGTTTAAAACCGTAACACAAATGATGAAACACTTTTCATTGTTTATTTTGGTTAAGTATGAAATAACAACTTTATTGCCCCAAGTACTGCCCACACTTCTGTAACTAACACATAAAAAATGGATTTATCCGTTACATGTAGTTGAAGAAGCTGGAGACACCGCTAAAACAGCAGTAAATAAGTAGTCTGTAGTAAATAAAGTAAATTGAATAAAGTGTTATAACTGGGAAATAATGTCTCAAAAGGAAACACATTTTTCACATTCTCTCGAAGTAGAATCCAGTCACACGTCACTGATCATAAACATTGATTTCCTCGCACCACAGATCAGTTAACGTATTGATTCGATTAATTTTAGATTTTTTATCAATAAGTCAATACTATGTCCTTCTAGAGTTCATGGTAATTAGCATTGTGGTGTTTTTGTTTGTTTCTTTAAATGAGGACAGCAAGGTTTTTTTTAAAATTTATTTTCATAATTGACATTGTTCTGTTCCCATTGTTGTCCAAGGCAAAACTCTCTGGAACAAATAAGTCTCTTAATCTCTTTCACATAGAAGAGAGATTTCAATGTTGCATCAGCAGTTACAGAACAGTAGGAATGAGGAGCACACAGCATAAGATAAATTATACTAAATAAAATGAAATAAAATATAGAGTTAAAGACAATAGACTGACGTACTACACCATGGCCACTAGATGGAGCTAGAGTCTGTTGTACCGTTATGGAGTTGTACTTCCCATTTACAACACAAGGCGGCGCCCCATACTTACTTTTCAGGACATTTACTCATCATGGCACAGAATACATTAGTTTTGCAAAGTAAGACCCTGGGATAATACATAGTTCCCACAGACCAATGAATGTCACATGACCTCCTCGGAGACGCCATCTTTGATGGCACGCTGCTGTGTTTGTGCATTCCATTAAACAGAAGAATGAGAATAAATGTAGATATTCAAACATAAATTGGAAAAAAAGGGCAACTTTTGAGCAAATAATTGTATATTAATACAATGGCACCACAGTTTAACGTGCTACGGACATGTTTTACATATTTGATCAAATTATGCAGCAAAAATTAACAAGCAATGCAAACATTTCTCAAAAACTTTAGATTTAATACCAGTTGGAGCTCCATTTAATTATTTTAATTATATTAACAATTAATTTAATTAATGCTAATGCCACACGGACACTCTGGATTGCTGTTAATGTTTTTTTCCGCGTTTTTGACCGTATGTTTTGGTGAATGGTGGGCAACTGATTTTTCCAGGCGTAAAGAGCAGTTTATTTTATGACACAGATCTTTTTACAGAAGCAATGCTGTTTGTGAACATTGTTTTAGCCCACCATAGAACTATTATTATCTATTTAATACATTTACGTTGCCCTCGAGAGCCTCGGACGCGACACCGATCCTCCTCATAATAAAGTAATCTAAATGAAACTCTCAAGTTACCAGCTATCAGCATACACAAGTTAGTACTGAGTAAATTACGTCTGTCAACACATTATAAGATACGATACGCACCTGACACAAAGTGCTCCGAGCATATTCTTGCGTGTTTTGAGGGAGTTTCTTGCCTGTTTATCTTCGCAAGCCATAACCTCCGTGGTTGTTCTGACAAAAGCTTAGTCTTCTCACATTCATGAAGTCTAATGATGGGTATACTGTAAAATCCAAGTTTAACGGAACCTCCGGCACGATTTGAACATCCATTGACCCAGCAGGAGATGACCATTTTCAACTTTATCACGACATTAACACGTTTCAGCTTCTTTTTCTATTGTTTTGCCCACAGAATGCCAACACAAATGGCGCCGGGTCGGCAAATCCCCGTATGTAGTGACGTCATGTGGGAACTATGTATATGCGAGTCATTTCAGACTTTTAAAAATGGCCGCTCGTTTACAAAGAAGACTCTTGACTCATCTCTGCGACGTTTAAATGTTCAATAAATAATGTTTTTTGGATTATAGAGAGTAAACATGTGCTACATCACGTTATTGCCCACATATTCCAGTCCCTCTCGGCCTGTTTGGACCAGAGACTGTAGGGGCTTCTTCAACAAGCCTGTTCCCTTGGAGACACTGGTGCCGAACCATAGACAGAACCTGGACCAGAGGAACCTCAGTAAAACACAGCTGTGGGCTTCATGTTAACGTCCAGAGCACGTTTCCTGTGGAAGGAAACCAAATACAACATGTGTCAACACTAGGACTCCACGAGAACACACGTCAAACGCTGGTCCGGGGGCCAAGTCCGGCCCCAAGAGCATTTTTAGTGGCCCCTGAAATAATTTTTGATGATCATTTTTGGTGAAAAGGGCGGGCTCATTCTACGCACCAGGACATTGCTGGGGAATATATGTGGAAGACATGTTATATGTGGTTAAACTTCCACAGTCCCTTTAATGAACGTGTAATCAGGCCAAAGTAAGATTTATTTATATTTAACTTCAAAACTTCACTTACATATTATTTTATATTTGGTACAGTTGCGACTGAAATCAGACCTACTAGAAAATAATATGTCAAATAAAACTAATTTGTCAATATATGATATGTATATAACAATGACAAGTAATCAATGTTATACTTTTGGCCCCAACCAGCTCCTATATTTTTAAATTTGGCCCCTCTACACTAGAATAGATACTGAAGTTTCACCTGTTTCCTAGAACTCCCAGAGCAGTCAATTTGACTGCTCCCAATGAAATGAATGGAATTCTGAGAAATTCCTCCTAACCTCGCTAACAGCAAAAAGTGTTGCTATGGAAACTAGCACCAGCTCTTCTCTGGTCGAAAAACAAGACTCGACTCAGAATCAGTGGCTTTAACTGCCAGAGTGTTTGTTTATTTTGAAATATATATAAATAAATTATATGTAGAAACAAAAGTCATTAAGTTTTGTCCAAACAGGTTCATAGGCCGAGTGATCACACCGTCACATTGACTGCTGTGGGAGTCCTGGTGTTTGTCAGATCATAGGGTCGGAGAGGCTGTACGCCGCGCCCTCCTGGATTAACAAACGTACCCACGCTGCCTCCCATTTCTTCAGGAGCCGTCCATGTTCTGCCAGAGCACTTCTCCACTGGCTCAGATACTTCTCAGGAATGAGGTCCTCAGCTGCAAAAACACAATCCTTCACTCAGACTCAGCCCCGATGCCGTGAGTTGAATAAAGTGAAACACATGCGACAGGCCGGATACCTGCACCGGGGAGACTGAGGACCGCTTCAGACCGGTCCTGCCCAGTCCCGGTCTCAGCCACACACTGGTACTGAGCCTCCTTTATCAGGGGCCCCTCCTGGAGCCAGCTGCTCACCAGGACCTGACCTTGAGCCAGGACCCTGCGCTCCTCCATCACAGGCCGGTCCACAGCATGACCGTCCATGAGCCAGTGCACGTGGACGTCACTCGGACCTGAGGGACAGAGTTATCCTCATTGTCTGGTTTCCATAGCAACGCAGTCCATCACTAATGTCAATCAAAGCACTTGCCTGATGGTGAAACTTGCAGCAGCCATTCAAGTTTGCAAAACGTGGTTTCATCCTCATGCATTACACGGCCTTAAACCCATCTCGACATCGATACAAAACATATGCAGCGCTAACTTCATACACACATGCTATTAGCAAAGAACAACAACACACACCATTTAAAAACAATTCACAGACTTTATTTCCTCTCCCACTTGAAGAGATATAAACCCTAAATTTCTGTACAAGTTCAAACGTATTTTAAATATTTACAAAAAAAAGTTTACATTTTTACAAAAGGAATCGGATCAAAACAGTTACAGTCATTTTGTCCTGAACAAAACACACAAAGTGAAAATGTGTTTTACTCACACCTCAGCCCAAGGTTTGGCAACAGCAAGACCAGATTTATGGTTGTTTATATATAAAAAAACACACAAGATGTTAGTGTGGGTCTGGTGCATGCAAAGTGCAACTGAGAAACAGAACGGAGACTAAAGACACAAGAGAGACAGAGAGAGACCAGAGAGCGAGAGGGCAAGAGCGAGAGAGAGAGAGAGAGAGACAGTAAGACAGACCGGAGACAGCGAGAGAGAGGGAGACAGCGAGAGAGAGACAGCGAGAGACAGAGATAGAGACCAGAGAGAGACAGCCAGAGAGACGGAGACAGTAAGACAGACCAGAAAGAGACAGAGAGAGATAGAGAGAGACAGTGAGAGAGATAGAAAGACAGAGACAGATTCACATCACACCAACTGAAGACTGGGAGAATGTAGATCCAGTCAGAGGCACCACTCACCCAGAGCCAGGCAGAAGAGCATGAAGGCCTCCTGGGCATGCACCCCCCAGGCCTGGTCCCTCAGCAGGGGGGGCAACAGTCTCACCTCAACCTCTTGGGCCTGGACCGTGTGCGCTTTGGCAGAGAAAGGTATGGATGAAGGAAGGGAAGAGAGAGTGCTATGCCCAGAGGAGGTGGAGGGGGAGGACTTGTCGACAGGAGCAGAGGCTGTGAAGGAGCAGTGATGCAGAGAGAGAGAGACAAGTTTTGAGGAAAAATGGGGGAAAACCCGGTGCCACATGCAAAATGGATGAAGAAAAAATTATTTAAAAAATAGGCTCTCTTAGAAGTAAATCAGATAAAACTATGCAATAAATAATCTAAATACAAGTAGTTGGCCTGTAAATTAAATTATTACAAAAACTTCATTATTTCAGAACAAGTTCAGATTGTTTCCAGGGCGTTAGAACAATTTGAGGCAAAAAAAAAAAAAGTCAGTGTTTGAACAGTGGTAAAGATGGTTATTATTAATACAAACAATGATACAGCAGTGGTTAAAAATGGATTCAATGTCATTTTGGATTCATCTGACGAGGAAACGATACAATGACAGCAGTAAAAACAGCCGTGGTCGTCTTTCTGCGGCTTCAACCAACCCTTCGTCGCGACATTGTGACAGGACAGTAACAAAGACGCCTAAAAAGGGAGAACATCGTCCCTGAGAGAACACAACAATAACAGCAGTTTGTGTCCGGCAGCACGTACACCTGTAGCTTCGACAAAACGCTCACACGGACAAACGTTAAAAGGTCGTCATGTCTCTGTACGTTTCAGGCTCAGAAGGTTCGTACAAAGAGACTAAAGTGTCAAGAAGCTAGCACTGCTCCATCGCCGCATGTTTGGGAGGTAGAGACATTTTCCGCCTTCGTCCGAGGAGTGGCGCTGTCGTCTCTGGGGAAGCGAGTCCCGGGTGTGCGCCAAGGTGTAGGCCCCCTCGTCTCCGTTGATGGTCCGGGTGCCCCGCTTCTTGATTTCAATTGCATCTCGTATCCAACTTCTGTATTCGTGTTCTTCTGTTGCTACTGGTATTTATTATTTCAATCCCTTGTATGATTTTAATGATTTAATTACCTGTATGATTTTAACTGTGTTAGACAGAGAGAGAGACCAGAGCCAGAGAGAGAGAGATAGAGACAGAGAGATAGACCAGAGAGAGACAGAAAGGCAGAGAGACAGAGATAGACCAGCGAGAGACATATGATTGTATGTTTTTAATGCCGTTTATAGTGTTGGATACGTGATGATTTGTGCTTTGTGTGATGTGGACTGAAGCGTTGTGTTTCCCTGTGTAGGAAAAACACACATAAATAACGATTGATTTATGCTATTTTTCCTTGGCTCACGTGAGAACACAAATACAAAAGATGGTTACGAGATTGAAACCAAGAAGCAGGACACATGGACCATCAACAGAGACGAGGGGGCCTACACCTTGGCGCACACCCTGGACTCACTTCTCCAGAGACCACAGGGGGGCGTGGTCAGTCTGACGGATCTGTTAGAATCTGTCAGACTAATACATCCAGAAACAGCTGATCAGACACACGTCACACCATCACCGGTCTCCTCGGACGAAGATACCGTCCAAACATGTGGTGAACTAGCTTAAACTTTTTTCTTATGAAAAGAACCTTCTAAACCGCTAACACTGACATAGTTCACACAAAAGGCTATACACAAAGTAACAGACTCCAATTTGGAAAACATCTAGCTAACTTACCAATTTGGTAAATCATGTCTCCAATTTGGAATTAAATAGCTTTTCTCCTGCTGGACAAAGCAAGTGCAGCGTCTATGCTAGTCCAAAGATCGAAGAGACAGAGCTACACACACAGAAGCCCGGAGCCACAAACCAGCCTCAGAAACCTTACTCTCGCTTTGACTCAAAGAGCAAGGACGCTAAAGTGAGAACTCGATGCAGTCTTTTTAACCAGAGATAATCTTTCCACTACTATTATCACAGGTCCACGTCTGCGTCTGCGTATTCGATGGGCTGAGAGTCAGAATCTATGTCGAAAGGCTTCTCCGTGGAAGGACTCTCATTGAAACAGTGCACTTTCCCGTTGGCCGTGCCGCACTCGGGCTCCGTCTCGTACCCGGTGTCCCTCAGCGCTCGCAGGTTGGAGGTGGACTGGCTGCCGTTCTGTTTCGGCGGCTCGGCGGCAAGAGCCTTGTCCGCGCTCGACGACACCTCCATCAACCCCGCCTCGCACGCTCGGTACTCGGGCTGACTGGCGCTTTTGTGGTTACCGATCAGGGCGGTCCGCAAGCGCAGACAGGGGCCCGGCAGGTACTGCATGTAACAGTTATAAACCATGGCAGCCACAAAGAGAAGGAAAAACAACAGAAAGAGAAGGAGCAGGGCCGTGCTGTTGTCTTGCTGCAGATACGAGGTGGCGGTCGCTTCCTTGCTCCCAACGTGGGACGGGTACGAGCTCGGTGAGAGCGGCTGGATGGGGTGGAGCTTGCTGCTGGGGGGTGGAGTTAGTGATGAGTCGGTTTGGGGTGCGGATGTAAAGGACGTAGTAAAACGGGAGGGGACACGAGCTGAGGTGGTTAGTGGCACTCTCTCTAGCTTACGGTTACCTGCGGCGGCCTGCGTGTTAGCTGCGTCCGGGCTGATGAGGGGCGGGGTCGCGTCACCTGAGTGAGGAGGCGGAGGCTGAGGCTGGGGGAGGTCCAGGGTGAGGGTGTACGCGGCCAGCTGGCGGCTAAAGTTCTTGCCCGCGGCCGGGGCCCATTCCACTGACCAGCACTCGTAACGGCCCTGGTCCTCCATCGCCACGCTGTAGATGAGGAGCCCGGCGTCGGCGATGAGGTGGAAGCGGGAGGCGTCTGTGAGCACCGAGCCGTTGGCCTTCCACACCACGTGGGCCGCGTTGGACAGACCCCCGCACGGCAGCTCCGCGGAACTCCCAGGTTTGACTCTGACCGACCGGAACTGCTCTGGAGACGGTGCTGCAGGGACCAAACAGTCAGATGTCAATGGTTAATGAAAGACAAAGAATGATGAAAGTTTGATTAGTTCTAGGGGCGGGAGTTGGCAAAAATGTGACGATTCGATAGTATCGCGATATTTGGATTCTTAACATATTGCGATACAGCAAGTATAGAGAAAGTATAGCCTTTTGATTCTGCGATATATTTTGATTCATGTCCCTCATTCTATTCCATTACAGAAATTGAGGATAATATGACTTATTATGGTCTGGACATTAACGAACATCACTGCGAGCACATCACTTAAATTATTCAAATACAACAGACTCGAGTCACAACAAATCATAAAGATGGAAATGACGAGATTAAACTCAAGAACAAACACAAAAGAGAAACAGAATTATCAAACATTGTAATACTTAAAGGTAAATGAGGATTTTCCCAAATTTTAGGAAGGAACCGCCCTCTCCAATTTTTGAACAAACTCTCTAGTCTTATTGGACGAGCACGTATCACCAGAATGATTGACAGTTAGGAGGACCAATAGTCTTGACGATAGACCCGGAAGTAGATTATCCTACTGTAGACCTTTAACTGCGTGTGCAAAATATCAGGATACAATCTAGTACACACCTGGGCATCGGTCTGCATTCCCACTGAGATCCTGAATCAACCAACTGGAAGAAACAACACACACACATTAATAAAGTATAATTATTTGGTTCTTCTGTATCAGTATCCAATCCACACAAAAAAAACTAAAAAACCCTGCACAACTATTGCCACTGTTTCTTAATTTCAACTTTGACTGTACATAATATATCCTGCATTTAACATGTTTGCACACTTCTTTCATTATCTTCTTCTCGAGTAGTACGGGTCATAAACACAGTGTCCAAAGTGCAGCACAATAAAATACTAATTAAAACAAATGCATACTAAGCAGGAAAATCATTACAAATCAAATTGGAAAAACTGTGTGTGCCTATACGTATAAATATAATAATAAAAGGACCATACTATTCAGGCAGTGTAAAAGTCAGAGCATAAAGATATAGAACCAAAACCAAACATTCATATCTATACTTTTAAAACAAGATGAACTTTCTTAAACTACAAATGTATGAACTTTCTATGATCATAAACAAAGCTTTAAAAGTGTCTTACCTCTTTCCGTTCTCTACACTGTTGATGCATTTCTCCGTCTGTGGATCCCAGGAACAGTACGGATCTCGGGCCAAAACGCAGTCGATGCAGGACAGATACTTCCCACAGAAGGAGGTGGGGCTCTGGACCACGCCGGAGTCTGAGCCGGCGTAGATGGACTGGGTCTGCGGACACACCACGCGGTCAAAATACAGAACATTCTTTGTACAATGGAGAAAGAGAAAGAAGGAACCTCAAATATTAATTCATAAATCAATACACTAGGATAATAAATGTATAATATAGCTGATAAAATAATATCTGGTAAAATATATATATATACAGTACAGATATACATAATAAAAAGTAAGTAGCAGTAAGGTCACCCAAAGCGCTTTCACAATGTTCAGAGTTCAGAAGCGAGTCCAGAACACACTGGACCATCAGCCTCCGACCAAACACCATCTATTCACTCTCATCTCTCACTCTCTCATTCAGACCTATTGTACATGTTTTTAGAAGTAAGGGAAACCGGAGCACCCAGAGGAAACCTACGCAGACACGGGGAGAACATGCAAACTCCACTCAGAAAGGCCCTGTTCCGACCGGGATTCGAACCCAGGAGCTTCTTGCTGAGAAGCGAGAGAGCTAACCACTCAGCCTTACTCAGTGGTTAGTAACTCAGTTACTTTGTAACTATCGCAAACGAGATGCCTGTGGATGCGTGTCCGTGGATGTTTATGTGAGACCCCGTGTATAAGCTTTGCGGAGATTTTCGGGACTACATTTTTTCACAAATCACAAAGATATACAGAAAATGTAACGTACAGTTGTTGTGAAGATAAATGAATAAATAGAAAGATACAGAAGGTTCTTTGGTTTCTGACCTTCGTGGACAGCAGCAGGTTCTTTATGGGTTCAGAGGTTTTCAGCAGTTGGATTTCTTCTATCGTGTGGACGCCTCCTTCGTACACCACCGACTTGTGGAGGATTCCTTTGTCTGAAAACGCAAAAACCATCACGGATTAGTCTCACATTGTTTATGAGCAGAAGCCTTTTTATATGTGCCTTAAGTAGAACTAGTTTGAAATCCATGTGTCTCTGTGGAACTGGACGAAAGAAGCAAAAACATGTTCAAAGATGTGACGATTTCAAAAGGAAGCGCAGAAGAAGAACGTGGAGGACTGAGGACACAGAGTTGTGGGAGAGAGGTGTAGGGTCAGAGAGAGTGTGGGCCTGTGTCTTGTGTTGATCGAGTGAAAGGGACTGGAGCCAAATCAGTCTCTGCCTCGTCCGTTTTTTTTAATCAAGCGGGTTATTTCTGTATTTTTATTTTGTATCTTGTTTATGATTTCATTTTGCAAAATGTTTTACATAAAATTCTTACTACAAGTAAGTAAGTAATCTCTAAAGATTACTTACTACTACTACTACTACTGTGTCATGTAATTAATGTATATACTACAAATAGAGAACAGTTTATCATATATGCAGATATTTTTCAGTGTTCTAAATATTATCCTATACTTGCTACTAGTTAGATGCTAAACTGCATTTGTTATTTTTTCTTCTGTCCTTGTAAAGACAAAGTTGAATCTACTACTGCTACCACTACTACAATAACTGCTACTGCTACTACTACTACGATAACTGCTACTGCTACTACTACTACGATAACTGCTACTGCTACTACGATAACTGCTACTGCTACTACTACTACGATAACTGCTACTACTACTGCTTTTACTGCTGCTGCTGATCCAAACTGAAGTGTTACCAGTTCCGGTGAAGATGACGTCGTAGATGCGGCCGCTGAGCGCAGGGACGCGGTCCACCACGATCTGAGTGTAGTTGACGTCTTTGGTGATGAGGCGGGGGCCGTTGCCGATGGGCAGAACGGGGTCCTCCAGCAGAGGGTGGTCTTTCACAAACTGCAGAGTCTTGTCCGGCAGCTGCAGAGAGCTGTTGACTCCCTGCTGACGCATGCTGTTGTCGATGCACTGGAGAGAGACGACGGGGGGGGGTTAAAAACAGAACTACAAACTAACACAGAACACACACACATGCAAATATGACTGTCCTGAATTTCTCCATTGTGAGATAATAAAGTACATCTCTCTCTCTCTCAAATAACTATGCATCATTTACACTCAGCCAACTCCAGCTCTGTCAAATGTGAGTCATTGTCATACCTCATTTAAAAGTCCATATCACGCTATTGGACTTTTCATCATCATTGCAGTGTTATTTGGCTTCACATACATTTACACAGTTTTTTTTATTGATTCCCTCGAGCTTTAGTTAGAGGCAGCAAAACGCCAAATCCATGACGAGCTGCAGAAGCCCGCCTCCAGTAGGTGATTGACAGGTGGAGAAACCAAAAGTGAATCGGTGCATGCAGCCTTGGTCCCGAGTCTCCCACGGTCTGTTAGCTGCACTTCGAGCTGTTTTTTTTCTGCTATTGTCACCGACTGAAAGTCGGCATCAAGTGACTTGGAGAAAATGTGTTTTTGGTGAAAATATGTGAAGACACTACTCAGCACAAAGACTAAGAATGTGGCTAAATTTTCTTCATAGCCTCTGAAATCCACAAAGAATCTGTTTATCTGGAACTTGCGCGCCGGACTTGCGCACCGGACTTGCGCACCGGACTTGCGCACCGGACTTGCGCACCAGACTTGCGCACCGGACTTGCGCACCGGACTTGCGCACCGGACTTGCGCACCGGACTTGCGCACCGGACTTGCGCACCGGACTTGCGCACCGGACTTGCGCACCGGACTTGCACTGGACTTGCACTGGACTTGCACTGGACTTGCACTGGACTTGCACTGGACTTGCACTGGACTTGCACTGGACTTGCACTGGACTTGCACTGGACTTGCACTGGACTTGCTAATTGTTTTTATTCCCACAATAAAAGACGTTAATGAGGAGCCACATTTTTATCAAACATATGATTATGATGTGAAAAGCAACATATGGGACCTTTAAAAGCTCCCAATACAGATCAATGGCCCTGGACTGGTCTGGTCTGGTCTGGTCTGGTGAACTACAGTGGTCCTCTTACTTTAAAGTGTGTGTACTTACTGCACCAGGCCGAGGGGATGGAGTCTGGCCGTTGTACCGAACCCACTTGGTGTGAGACTGCTCCACTGTTGCTTTCTGCATGTATTTCCCTTTAGAGAAGACGTCCTCCACAGCCGTCAGGTTGTAGGCACAGACTGCAGACAGACCCACGTTGTCCCTGAGCAGACCACACAATAAAACGTTACAGGGACCACATTAACGGCTGGGAACTTGGGGAAAATTATTCTTCAATAGTTCTGCAAAATCTAAGTAAGCAAGTAATGTTACTTTATATACCGCCATTCACAGACCAGAGTCAAAGCGGTTTTTACAATTGTTTTTTTTGGGCATTTTGTCTCTCTCACACAGTTGTAGGGGAAACCGGAGTACCCAGAGGAAACCTACACAGACACGGGGAGAACATGCAAACTCTACTTAGAAAGGCCCTGGGTTATACCATTTTTCTTTGATATGTATTCTATGCAGTTTTCTTTTATTATCTTCCGTGCCAGTGAGAAGCACTTTGGGCAGCTGGTGTTGTTATAAATGTGCTATATACAAATAAAATTGACAAAAACATAGTGATACTGAACAGAATCACAGAAGAAGCATGAAGCCGACTGACCATTGAGAGGTGAAGACGCCGTAGATGACCGTGTCCCACCAGTGCTTCCCCTTCAGGACAAAGACGTCGTGGACCACGTTGAAGACGAAGTTGAGCTCTGGCATGGAACAGACCAGTTTGGCCTTCAGGAAGGACGTCCACTTCTTCTGGAGAGTCCGCTGCCCCCCGAGGTCGCCCTGAGGAGAGAGGAAGACCACATTTAGGATACTACGCAAAAGGAAGAAGGCCCAGCTCTACTTGGCCCAGCTCAGCTCTGCTCTACCTCCTTGTGTTTCCATTATCCCAGTTATCTCACCCACAACAAACCAGTATTCAGGGATTTTCCTCTGTAATCAACAACATTTATGAACAATGGTCTCTGCCCCTTATGAACCAATGGCTCTACACGATAATTTATTTTCCATTTGCAGTAAAAACTTTGCATACTAACCCTAACCCTTGTGTTTGATTCTCTTGATCTGTTTTGGCGAATGCAACGGTTTAGTTAAGTCCTCATGGAGAACTACTGCTGTGATTTAGGGCTGTACAAGAAAACATTGAATTAACCATGGCTTCCAGCAACACTCGGTCAGACTAGAACCAGGGCCAAGCGGGCACCAAAAAGTACCTGGTACTGATTAAACAGGGCCAGTGCACATGCTCCTAATAAGGGCAGAGTAGAGCTAAGGGTCGGTGGAAACATGGCTTTAAAACCAGTTAAAAAATAAATATATTATCAGTTTTTTGCTTGTTTATCTACATGCATGTATGTACGAACCACTAACTCTAGCCTGTGTGTAATTAATGTGTAGACTTGCTTATTGTTTGTGTCTTTCTGTGTCTTTATGAGTGAGAAACTAAAAAACACATGTGTAATCACCTTACAGACTCGCGCCACTCGAGGGATCAGCAACTTGCCAAAGAATTCGTACTCCACCGAAACCTCCGTGAAGAAGTAGTAGATTTTGTCGTCTTCGCCGTTGGCCTCGTTTCTCCCGTCTCGGATCACGTCGGCAAAAACAAAACTTGGCTCTGCAACCAATCGAGTAAGGTAAGGTGAGGCCAGTTTATCTGTATAGCACAGTGCATACACAAGGCAACTCCAAGCGCGTAACAAGACAAGAATTTAAATCATAAATAATCACAGTGAAAAAATGCGGGCCTCAAAGCTGAGATTTTATCATTTGTGTAGGTTATTTTTCTTATGCAAAACCTCAAACCCAATTTTGACACAAGGCTTTAGAATCATAAATAATCATCATACATTAAAGAGAGTTAAGTTCTTGAAGTTGTCAGAACATTGTCATAGAAGAAGCCGGTCTCTAAATAAATCATCTCAATAAATACATACAGAAAATTTGAAACGCTGCCACAGGAAGCGAGTCATCTTTATTAATATCGCGCATTTCACAGACCGAGGCCACACGGAGCACTTCAAAACTCTTCTCCACCCCTGACCTATTGTACATGTTTTTTTAGTGTTAGGTATCAGCCAGTTTCCCTTACAAAGACATGGGGAGAACATGCAAACTCCCCAGAGAGAGACCTGGAGATGGAATGGAACTCAGGACCGTCTTGCTGTGACCCTCAAACGCTAACCACAAGTCTCAACGTCAACTACAAACTGTAAGCGCTGCCTGTTAGGTGGAGATAAGGTGCTTACCGTTGAGCCAGGCCGTGGAGTACTCGGTCCTGACAAGAGGCTGAGGAGGAGAGTGTCGGGAGATGATGGGTTCACTGCCCAAAAAGTTATAAGAGGTTCCAGTGTAGAGCTCACCGTCTGTTTCAGGACAAAGAGCGGATATACGAATGTGTAATGTGTTTTGTGTAAGGAGGCCAGAGAGAGAGACGGACAGGAGAGAACCGAGAGAGGCCAGAGAGAGGCCAAAGAGAGGGATCAGAGAGGCCAGAGAGACAAGAGAGAGACAGGCCAGAGAGAGGCCAGAGAGAGGCCAGAGAGAGGCCAGAGAGAGGCCAGAGAGAGGCCAGAGAGAGAGGCCAGAGACGAGAGAGAGAGGCCAGAGAGAGGCTAAAGAGAGGGATCAGAGAGGCCAGAGAGACAAGAGAGAGAGAGGCCAGAGAGAGACGAGTGAGAGAGGCCAGAGAGAGACGAGTGAGAGAGGCCAGAGAGAGACAAGAGAAAGAGGCCAGAGAGAGACAAGAGAGAGAGAGGCCAGAGAGAGAGAGGCCAGAGAAAGAGGCCAGAGAGAGAGAGAGACAGGAAAGATCCGAGAGAGGCCAAAGAGAGAGGGGAGAGAAGAGAGATCAGAGGCCAGAGAGAGAGACAGAGACTAGAGAGAGGCAAGTGAGAGAGAGAGAGAGAGAGAGATTTGAGAGAGACAGAGAGAGAGAGAGACAAGGAAGAGAGACCAGAGAGAGAGACTTGAGAGACCAGAAATGGAGACCAGAGATAAATTCCAAATAAAAGTCTCTGTACTCACCGACCATGACTGTGGTGAAGCTTTGATACGGGTCAAAGGAGCACCTCCCTTTGCCATCCTCCCAGCGTCCAGTGAGCGAGAAATTAGATAAACTCTGAAAAATGCGAGAAACTTGTGAAGATTCTGGCGGAGATCTGACTTTGTCACAGTCTGAGATGGAGGAGTTTTAAACTTACCAAGTAGTCGCACCGAGGAGTGAAAGCATAAGTGCCGCAGACATAAAGCCGGTCCTTATCCACCACCTGCAGGACTCGGATGTTATTAAGACAGTCTCTCTGGAAAGATTCAAACAATATATGTTAGAATGACTTCAAATCCACCAAACTAAGAGACAGAGAGAGCAGAGAGAGAGAGATATCAGAGAGAGACCAGGGAGATCAGGGAGAGAGAGAGAGATAGACCAGAGAGATCAGGGAGAGAGAGAGAGATAGACCAGAGAGATCAGGGAGAGAGCGAGAGACCAGAGAGAGAGAGACCAGAGGGAGTAAGACCGGAGAGAGACACCAGAGAGAGAGGGATCAGAAAGACCAGAGAGTGAGAGACCACAGAGAGATATATATTAGAGAGAGCAGAGGGAGAGAGAGAGACCAGAGAGCGAGACTAAAGAGAACTAGAGAGAGCAGAGAGAGTGAAATAGAGAGTGAGACCAGAGAGAGAGACATGAGTGAGAGAGACCAGAGAGAGAGAGACCAGAGAGAGACCAAGACATGAGTGAGAGACCAGAGAGAGACCAAGACATGAGTGTGAGACCAGAGAGAGACCAAGACATGAGTGAGAGACCAGAGAGAGACCAAGACATGAGTGAGAGACCAGAGAGAGACCAAGACATGAGTGAGAGACCAACAGACTACCTCTCTGGATTTCCCTTTGAGGACACAGTTCTCAATATATTGGTCTTCCACGGTCCACTCCGCCTGAAGGAAAACACTTGTTATTATTATTGTTATTATTCATATAAACTGTATCATTGTGTAGCAGCGATACCTTGTTGTGTCGTTGTGTGACGTTTTTCTGACTGAGTCCAAAGACGGCTTCTCTGGCCCCGACGTACAGAGAGTCTCCCTCTTCACTCAGCAGCAGAGTGGTGTAGTTAAAGATGCCCGGCTCCGAGAACTCCATCAGGTCCAAGTCTGAAAGAACGACAGGTTTTAGAACTCCCAGAGCAGCAGCAGAGAGAGAGACCAGAAAGACCAGAGAGAAAGAAAGAGACCAGAGAGTGAGAGACCAGAGAAAGAGACCAGAAAGACCAGAGAAAAAAAAAGAGACCAGAGAGAGAGACCAGAGAGAGAGACCAGAAAGACCAGAGAGAAAGAAAGATCAGAGAGTGAGAGACACAAGAGAGAAATAGAGAGACCAGAGAGAGAAATGGAGAGACTAGAGGGAGAGAGACCAGAAAGACCAGAGAGAAAGAAAGAGACCAGAGAGTGAGAGACCAGAGAGAAAGAAAAAGAGATCAGAGTGTGAGAGACCACAGAGAGAGAGAGACCAGAAAGACCAGAGAGAGAAATAGAGACCAGAGAGAGAAATGGAGAGACTAGAGAGAGAGAAATAGAGAGAGCAGAGGGAGATAGAGAGAGCAGAGGGAGAGAGACCAGAGAGAGAGAAATAGAGAGACCAGAGGGAGATAGAGAGAGCAGAGGGAGAGAGAGAGAGAGCAGAGAGCATCAGGTCCAAGGCTGAAAGAACGACAGGTTTTAGAACTCCCAGCATGCATCAGAGTTCTGAGCTTCCTACATGTCGCTCTATAGTCGGTCGGTTGTGTTTACGTCTAAAACCACACACAAAAAATGCATTGCTTTTTTGTTCATTAAAAAAAATCTTTACCGTACCTCCAAAAGTTCTGAAATTGGTGAATTTTTTAGCTATTAAAATAATCTATGGACCGGAAACAAGAGAGAGGTCAATGGTTCGCGACAGGTAACCCGATACGGCGGCCGCGATAGAATGCCCACCTTTTCAACCCAACTACCCACAATGCCGTGCGGTGGAAAAGGAAGCTCGGAACTCTTGATGCATGTACAAGGCAAAGTGCTTTTTTAGACATAGGAAAACACGGAGCTAAATGTGTCACCCAAAAAAATAAATAATGCATAAAAACAAGTCAATGAAAGATGCAAAGGTTTTTTGTATCGACCAATTTGATCTCGAGTCTGAAATTAATAATAATAAAAACACATCAGTAAATACTTCTGAACCACGTTTATTCTATTTTACAATCTTATTTTACTTCTAATATGGATTAAACTTAAATTATAGACTGTTTGATGTGAGCAATCTGAGTCTAATGTTGTTCTTTCTCTGCTGTAATGTGCAACGATGGTAATGAAACTTCTCCACTGTGAGACGAATGAAGGAATATCTGATCTTATTTCATATCTAAACAGAGACGCATAAAAGTATTGTTGCTAAAGTCCCAAGTGTGCACCAGACAAATACATAAAGAAATCATAATTCATACAAGTAAACAACGTTGAAAGAGGAGGTGGGAATCTCAACTTTATCCGACTTCTTCTAAAAACAGCGGTGAATTTTCAGTGTTTTGGATCAATGCTAATAATGTAGACTGTTCCATGTTCACAGTTTATTAGCAATAGCCATAAACTCTTTTTGCATCAGTTACAAGCTTGTTTTGTGGTCATGTTTTGACTCTGTATTGTCAAAAAAATGAATAAAAAACAAAATACTGGGAGATAAACCTACACATTTTTTATTCTTTTTTGTGCTTAAGTTGGAGATTATAGATTGCTTCTTTAATACACTATTTTTTTTATTTAATTTAGTCTAGAGTTACTGTTTATTTCTCTTGTGCTGCTCCTCATTCCTTCTGTTCTGTAACCGCTAATGCAACACTGACATTTCCCCATCTGTGGGACGAATACAGAATGTCTTAATCTTAATTTTAATCTCAATTCCATGAGCAGTGTTGCAGTTAAAATGACATACTTAAAAACATTCATGAATTAAGTGCATAGATCTAACTGGTGCATGTCTGACCTTGGCGTTTCCATGACGACCGGGGGACGGTGTGCGGCCCATGGGTGGACACCTCGAGGAGCAGTCCCAGGAAGACTCCCAGCACGCCGAAGCCCATGTTGGTCTCCAGCAGCTTTGGCGCCGTGAAGTTACCCCTGAGCACAGAGAGGACAGAGGCGGAGAAGCTAAACGACCACGACTAAGGAAACGCAAAGCAGAAATGAGACTTTCAGAAGCAGCCTCTGAGCCAAAGAGAACGAGATAGTTCCGAGTAATCTCAAAACCGAGATATGAGGTGTATTTCTGTGAACTAAATAGTCTAAAAATAAAAGTGGAAATAAATGCTAACCCAACCACAAAACCCCTCAGCATAGATCATATATTAGGTGAGGACTGATGAGAACTAACGTCAGTGTTAGCGTTAGTGCAGAAGAAGCTGATTTGAGCATAAGCTGTGGACACCAGTGGGGAAGGGTCCCAGATCAAAAGTGACCAAAATGACGTGCGCTGACATGCTGCAATACCACCCCGGGCCAATGGGGGTGGACCCAGAAGAAGAATTAGCCAATGCTAACATATAGCATTGGCTAACCTCTCAAAAACGTCTTTACAGGATGGACCAAAAGTTGTCTCTTGGCCCAAAGCTCCGTTCCACATGTGTGTCAATGCTGAGGGGGGGTGGATTGTTTTGGTCCACTCTAGTTTACTCGCTGTGAATTTTTGAAGTCTCTCGTTCAAATGAATGGAGCTGCGCCGGCTGACGCATGCGCAGATGCGTTTTTTCACAATTTTCTTGTGGGCGGGACCACTCGCGGCCATTTTGGATTGCTCCATGAAAGCACTTTTCATGGCCAACTCCTATGAACGGCGGAGATAGGCGTGACTCTGTCCATTAATATATACAGTCTATGGTTGACACAGGCAGACATGTGGCTAAGACAGTTGCTAAGGCAAGATGGAGTTTGCCCAGGAATGAAGGCATCTGATTGGTCAATCTTTATATGGTTGATTTTTTTTTCTTTTTTTTTTTTAAGATATCATTTTGGTAAATCCAAACACCAGGATCAAAGAGATGTTTTATGCCCAAACATGGTGAGTGTGACACAAAGGGTTACGGAGCTAGAAGAGTTTACGGGAGGCTAAAAGTAGGGAGGCTAAGCCAGGGAGGCTAGGCCAGGGAGGCTAGGCCAGGGAGGCCAAATTCGGGAGAAAAATATGGAGCAAAAACTTCATCCATGGGCACTTCTCTTATTGGGCTTTATTGAGCTAGCAGGTTGGCCATTTACATACTATTCTCCTCAGCAGCAGATTTGTGGTTTTGTTTTGGTATAATTAATCATTCTACACAACCCTCCGACCTCTTCTTCTATTGTAGTAAAGTCTTAGTAATTGGACTAACATTAAAGCTGTTTCAGAACATTTCAAACATGTTTCAGAATCCAGTAGATCAGATTCTGCACGGAGCGTCTTCGTTCACACGGCGTCTGTGTTACCGCTCTGTGTCCTCTGCCTAGGATCACGTTTGTTTTTGCAAAGATCAGTGGTTGGCTTCTCTGGTTCGGTGAGCAGAAAGTAAAGTGATCCCGCAGCGTTCTGGTCAGACAGGTTTCCATGTGTAGTCTTTAAATAAGAGAAACCAGCAGAAGGTCTGGAGTTTTATCACAGATCAAACAGATCGACTTGTGGCCTCTCACTGCGGCAGACGACAGGAAAGAACTGGCAACATACAACATTATGCTATTCAACCTAATTTCACATCCATTACTGTGCTGTGATGGAAATATGGATCTTAATAGAGTAAAAAGCTTTCAGAATATCTTTAATCAGTCATTTCATGCCCTCCCAGCAGTAAATCCAAAGCCTGTATAGTAGAATATAAGGCATATATTAGCTTTATTGGACTAATACGTATATAAACACATTAGAATTGTGTTTCATTTAATAACAACCACACATCTGTGCATAATGTCAGAACGTGCAACATAGAACCACATGTGTTCACTGTCACTTTCATTTTGAGCTTATTTATCTGTTGCTTATTTAACAGGGACATTGCACATTAAACGTATTGTTCAGACCGGACAGAGCTTGAGGCTAATTTTCACCTGTCGTCCCTGGGCAGAGGTGACACTAGGTTTACAGACAGAGTTGAGCTCAGAAGCAAGAGCTCTGGTGTGTGTCGTCTGGTGCACACTGGGGTAGTCTTGCACAGTTTTTCCTATGTGGTTTTACTGCAAATGGCAATTAAATGAATCTGAATCAGAAGTGCAGAAGTACCACATCCTCACGCTGCAAAGACATTTCATCACTGAATATTTCAACTCTAATTAAAAAGGCGCTATACCCGTTTCTGCAAGGTTTGAATGTTTAGCACCGCCCCCAACTCGCTCAATGGCTTCTCATTTCCCCTACGCTCTCATAACACAAAGCCATCTAGTTTTATTTGCGATCTGACATGTATGCTAACATTAGCGCAACAATCACTGATGAAATGATACTAAAGCAACGCACTGCTAACACAACATATAGGTAAAAGAATACCGCTAGTTTTGCATCTGAATGTATTAATTTAAACATTAGAATATATTCAAATATTTAATTATGATTTATCTCACTGTAGGGGCTAGAGGACGCAGGCTGTTCGCTGCTCGTTCTGTGAGCGGAGGAGAATGACCGGCACGCTAAGTCTGTGCTGAGCACTTTTCACGGCTATAACTCATACACCGCTGAATCAATGACCTCAAGTTTTCAATGAAATTATGTATTATAATTAGGGCTGTCAAAATTATCGCGTTAACGTGCGTTAACGCGTTTGACGCATGCCCATGCGTCCCATAATAACACTCAGAATGCCGCGGACACATGCGTGTGTAAGATGGGGACAGAGCAGGTCTCTGGGAGTTCAAGTTTTGAAAGAATACACGCGTGACCGCGGGGCACTTGTTGTTTCCTGTATGAACTCTGGATGATGAGCTGCGGGCGCCACAGCGCTCTGGACAGTTCCCACTTCCAGCGGCTGTGATCACGGCGAACGGCGCTGCGTAATGGGATCATATCCAAGACCACGCACAGAACTATTACAGAACTATTCTCTAGTGTGCGTACGTGTCTTTGCGTAACCGATGCACACAATATGTACAGCGCTGAAGCTGGACTGCGGAGCCTCAGTCTCCTCCGTGTCTTCTCCCGAAGCGCACTCGCTAAATTAAAGCTGAGGTACCTAATTTTCCTTTCGACCATCAGTTCATGTTCGTTGTGCCTAAAAAAGTAATGGTGTGAGCAAATCAAACAGATTTAATGACATTCTGCATTTCAGACTATTTTGAAATGTCCCTCATCTGTAACAAACAATAGTTTTGGTCTGAGTCTAAACAGAAAGACAGAATGTTAATAATGTTAATTCCATTTTATATGGATTTATTGTTATAACAAACAAATACAGTACATATGTTCACTAAGCTGTCATTTATCTTTCCATTCAAACAACAATTTACAGAAAAATATGGCATAATTTTGCCAATAGTTTGAAATGTGATTAATTACGATTAAATAATTTTTAAGCTGTAATTAACTCGATTAAAAAAATTAATCGTTTGACAGCCCTAATTATAATACAACTTGTATGTAGTAATAAGCATTTTTATCAACTACTTAGAAAAAAAAATCGGGTATAGCTTCTTTGACTTCAAGAGTCTTGCTCCAGAGTGACACAGATTTGAGGCCACTCCTGTGAGATGCAGCTTCCTGGGAGTTTCCTTTCAAGTTTCCTTTTTAAAAGCACCTACAAACTTTAGACATTAGAATATGTCTGACCTGTGAGACTCAAGCTTTGTAAATAAAGAGAATTCATTGATTTCTATAGATTAAACTAAATATTCAGCGTTAACGACTTCATCACTCACACAAGTATTATAAACCTAGATACTCGAGGGCAAATATACCTTATTTGTTTTATACATTTTAATACTATGTGTCTTTATTGAGTTGAAGATGGAGATTTGATTGTAATGTTTAAGTACAGAGTTGTGCCGTTTGCTGCTCAATCCCACTGTTCAAACCTGTGATGCAACACTGACATTTCCCCACCGTGGGACGAATAAACCAGTAATATTTATTTATCAGACAAAGCTCACCCAAAGCTCACCCAAAACACTTTACTACAAGTTTTCAGATTGGTTTAATATTAGGACCCGGAAATAGACAAACGGGAAGCAAATGGATGGATATTTTCAATGAAGGATTTCTCTATTTAAAGTTTAACCAGATTCAGTAGTTAATATTTAACTCTGCGTTCAGCTGTCATCATGGTTTAGACATGGGGAACTGCACATCCCAAAACATGGAAAATCAATGCCCTCCACCGCAGTGTGAACTATGGAAGCAGAGATTGGATATGGATTTGTTGGTTAATACCAAAGTGCCCAGAGCTCTGTCCCCATTTACATGAAATCAAGGCTTCACCGGATCTGGAAAGGCTGGAGCTTGGGTTTTTCTAGAAGCAGTAATAGCAAGAGGTCGTCAAGATTGTTCTCTCAGTCCTCTCAAAACTTTCATAAGACGGGGATTTTTCCGTGACCATGAAAGTCTAAGAAAAAAGTGAAATGAATGAGAAATCAGCCACAAGAAAATCAAACTCCTGGAACAGATCGTATTTTCGTAGAGAAGTGTGACATCACCACAGCGTTAGCTTTAATGCAGAAGCTGATTTGTGCATAAGCTAGCTGGTGCAAATATCCTTATGAGGCTAATTATTCTGTAACGTTAGCTTTGCGCAATTAACAGGGCCATAATTTAACTTCTACTTTCAAATTAATGTATTTTTATTACTTTTTAATTGCTTTTACTGCGTACATAATGTTTTAGTTTTCCCATACATTTTTTCAACATAAGAAGCTATATATATTTTTTGTTTACTTTTATCTCTGTGCAGCACTTTGGAAACTTGTCTTATAAAACGTGCTATATAAAAAAAGTGGATTTGCTTCTACAGATCTGGAAAGGCTGGATTTCAAGCCTCGTTTTACCCTTGGACTCTGATATTCGAAAGACGGGGTCAAATAAACAAGGCCCCTTTGTTTACGGCTGATGAGGGGAGCCCCCAGCGCCGCCCAACCCCCGGACTAAAGCCCTGGTCCAGGCCACATCATCACATCGAGAACCAAACAATGAACAGAAGGAGCGAAACAAGAGATCGGTTCTCCAGTGATTCAGCTCCAACGGGATAAATATATTCTTACTTCAAGAGGTGGCACTGAGAAGATACGCTGGGGTTTTGATTATGTATTCGGGTCATTCTTTAACATTGTGTCATGGAACGGCCACAAATGTAAAGCGGTCTTATTGGCATTCAGAATCAGAAAGTTTTACTGCCATTGTAAGTAACAGGAAGTGACAAACGGGGAATCTGATTTGGCTCAAGGTGCAATCGAAGTTGTAAAGGTCTGCATAGAAAAAGGTGACTGTATTCTATGAGAAAGACTTGAGCAAAAATGGCAAAGAAAAACTTCAAGTGCAAATAAAACAATGGCAGGCGTATTCAGCCATGGATTATATATATTAGATTCAACCCAGTTTTTTTCGGAGTGCAGCCAATGTCTTCAAAATGTGTTTTGGCCAAAATGTAAAGAGCCAAGTGGTGAAAAACTAACACTGCTCGTTACTCTACTCACACCGTCCCCAAACCGTGTGAGGGCAGCCTTTCTTCAGCAGGGACTGGTAAGAGTGTCAGGAGTGGATGAAAAAAAAGCTTTTGCAAATGAACTTGAGTCTGGGGTGGAGGTTTTACCATCAGGACAATTTCCCTAGACATAAAGCTATGTTTGTGGGTATGGAAACTATTTCAAATTGCCACTGTACATTTAACACGAAATTAAATAAAAGGCCAAGACACACAGCAAAACCAGTCCACTGTCCAGCGTTCTCCTGGTATAAATCTTTACACAAATAGCTCCCATTGGAGAGAGAAGCTTTAAAAACACCCTCCGTCTCTTTATGGAGTCGCAGGCTGTGAACTGGCAGCTCCATGCGCCGTACAGAGATTTAGCGGAGTGGTCATATGGTTCACAGATATTCAAGACGGTCGTCACGCTGCCGGGACTCTTTGAGCTCATTGTGCGTTCTTACAAGCTCCTTTGGTTGTGCAGCTATGGTGACACCTGCTCGGGGCCCGGGGCTCCCACTGCACTGAAGGGAACGGGGCAGAGGAACTGGCCGGACGCCCACAGAGGACAGGACTCACAGGGGGAGAGTAACGGAGCTCATCTCTGTTGGAGGAGAGGATAACACTCCACCTGCTTCATGATCACTACATTCTGACCTTATTACATTCATCTGATTACTCTGCTCTGATGATTTACTAGTCTCTTTACCATTGTGTATTTTTGCACATATTCAATTCAGTTCAATCTATTCTCGTAAAGCCCGAAATCACAACAGTAGTCATCTCGAAGGACTTTAAAATCCACTCCAAATATGAAGACTTTGACACTGCTTAAGCCAGGGGTGTCCAAACTTTTGAGTAAGAGGCAGCTTTAGTTCACCAGACTAGTCCAGGGGCCGACATCACGGACTGAAAACTTGTCTTGACTGGCATCGGGCTGTTCTGAGCTTTAAAATGATCTATAACAGAGCTGAAGTTGGCTGAATGACACATGTTTACTATCTCACCGGCTACATAAGCACTATTTAAGGAAGTTTGTGACACAATCAAAATGTATGTACAAAAAAAATCCTTTGACTGAACTCCAGACGTACTGGGCTTTAGAACAAGGTCTATATTGTCTGAGCTGAAGTTGGATGGATGACACAGTGAACTTGTGTTTATAATCTCAATGACTACTTTGGGTTAGAAAGGCAGTGGGCCACATAGAATGACTTTGAGGGCCGCAATTGGCCCCGCGGCCTGACTTTGGACATTGTAACTGCAAACGGAAGCAAAGACTCAAACATTTGTGAAGAGGTCGAGCGTCTGATAAAACCATTTTACCAACTACTGCAGATGACAAAAAAAACGGGCTAATAAAATAGACATGATGCAGGTTTTTTATAGAACGCAACCCCCACGATAAATGGTCAACCAAAGTACTTCTATGAGTATTTCTCATATAAGGTAAAGATCCGTGGGCTAAGGCCTTAGGAATGAGGAGCACACAGCACAAGATAAGTAAGTAAGTAAGTTTTTATTTATATACCGCCTTTTCACTGCAGATCTGAGTCTCAAAGCGGTTTACAATTGTTAATTTTGGGCATTTGTCTCTCACTCCACACAGAGATGGGAGCGGGGTCAGTACAGGAAGCGCATGCCAGACCTATTGGACATATTTTTAGTGGTAGGGGAAACCGGAGTACCCGGAGGAAACCTACGCAGACACGGGGAGAACATGCAAACTCCACTCAGAAAGGCCCTGGTCCGACCGGGATTCGAACCCAGGACCTTCTTGCTGCGAGGCGAGAGTGCTATCCACTCAGCCACCGTGCCGCCTCAGTGAACAATAACTCTATACAAAAATAAAATATCTCTAGCGTTAGCATAAAAAAGAGGGAAGTATAAAACCTGTATATTCTAGAGAAAGAAATATCCATCCATCCATCCATCCATCTTCTTCCCCTTAATCCATTTCTGGGTCGGAGGTGGCAGTCAGAGCACTAGCCCCTCACTGATCCTCCTGCAGGCGGTGAGTCCACAGGAGCTGAGATCTTTCAGCGGGGGCTTCAGGCAAAGTGGGGTTAAGTGTCTTGCCCAAGGACACAACGACAGCAGTCATCAGTGGGAGTCGTGAAGTAGGTCTTACAAGGTCTTTAGTTGTATAAATGTCTCTATATCTAGCACTACTAAAGTATAAACTATAAACAGTCTGCTGGTTTCTGCTTCTGCTCACCAGCTGGCAGAAACAGTGTGGTCCACATTTCTGCATTTCTCTTCCAAACTGTAATTACATGAATCTTAATCATCGACGGACATTGACAAGTGCGTGCCGTCGTTCCTTCACCTTTATCCAAGCAGTTCTTGTAGAAAATAAATTCTGGAAAAAGAGAAATGCCTCGACGGAGAAAGGCAAACGCAGCTGCAGCGAGAGGAGGTTTGAGCCAATCCAATTAAACTCTCAGAGGAAGTCATTTGTGTGAGAACGACAAACGGATCAGGACAGATGTCTCCTACACCATGAGAGACACCAGAGGACCAGCTGTACAGACACACCAGAGACACCAGAGGACCAGCTGTACAGACACACCAGAGACACCAGAGGACCAGCTGTACAGACACACCAGACACCAGAGGACCAGCTGTACAGACACACCAGACACCAGAGGACCAGCTGTACAGACACACCAGACACCAGAGGACCAGCTGTACAGACACACCAGACACCAGAGGACCAGCTGTACAGACACACCAGAGACACCAGAGGACCAGCTGTACAGACACACCAGACACCAGAGGACCAGCTGTACAGACACACCAGAGGACCAGCTGTACAGACACACCAGAGACACCAGAGGACCAGCTGTACAGACACACCAGAGACACCAGAGGACCAGCTGTACAGACACACCAGACACCAGAGGACCAGCTGTACAGACACACCAGACACCAGAGGACCAGCTGTACAGACACACCAGAGGACCAGCTGTACAGACACACCAGAGGACCAGCTGTACAGACACCAGAGGACCAGCTGTACAGACACACCAGAGGACCAGCTGTACAGACACACCAGAGGACCAGCTGTACAGACACACCAGAGGACCAGCTGTACAGACACACCAGAGGACCAGCTGTACAGACACACCAGACACCAGAGGACCAGCTGTACAGACACACCAGAGGACCAGCTGTACAGACACACCAGAGGACCAGCTGTACAGACACACCAGACACCAGAGGACCAGCTGTACAGACACACCAGAGACACCAGAGGACCAGCTGTACAGACACACCAGACACCAGAGGACCAGCTGTACAGACACACCAGACACCAGAGGACCAGCTGTACAGACACACCAGACACCAGAGGACCAGCTGTACAGACACACCAGAGGACCAGCTGTACAGACACACCAGAGGACCAGCTGTACAGACACACCAGAGGACCAGCTGTACAGACACACGAATCCCGTCGGAACAGGGCCTTTCTGAGTGGAGTTTGCATGTTCTCCCCGTGTCTGCATAGGTTTCCCCCTACCACTAAAAACATGCACAATAGGTATGAATGTAATGAGTGAGTGAATGGTGTTGGTCAGAGGCTTTGATGGTCCAGTGTGTTTTGATGGTCCAGTGTGTTTGGTGACTCGCTTCCATCATCACCGTGTGGAGAGAATGGAATAACTATCTGAAGCATCTCTTATGGTGCGTTCACGCCGCAAACACTGGAACGCTGACGCCTCGCGCACCAGACACACATTCTCTACATTTCAGATGCAGGGGTCTTCACACCAGAGGTCTTGGCCTGCGGTGGCGCGCGCCGGAAGTGGCAGGCGGCCTTTGATGCTAACGGAGTTAAGCTAGCGGGTTTTTGTTATAGAGTTCTTCTCCAATAATGAAGCTCTGCAGGGTCTCTGTGTCTGAGACCTTCCAGAGACTTTTTTTAACAGCAGTATGTGTTTACGGAGGTGCGCCATGCGTTTAAGAAGAAGAAGAAGGTCCTTTATTTGTCCCACAATGGGGAAATTTCAGTTTGATGCATACACATATAGTACATACATATATACACATACACATCAAGGCCCATCCATCCATCCATTTTCTACCCTTTAATCCATTTCTGGGTCAGGGGGGTGGCAGTCAGAGATGCCACCCAAGTCTCATAGCACCAGCCCCTCACTGACCCTCTGCAGGTGGTGAGCCCACAGGAGGACGGCTGCTCTCTGACTGTGAGCATAGCCTTGATCTTTCAGTGGGGGCTTTGGGCAAAGTGGGGTTAAGTGTCTTGCCCAAGGACACAACGACAGCAGTCATCAGTGGGAGTTGATGGAGAAGGTGCAGAGGTGGGAATTGAACCCACAACCTTCTGGCCTTAAGGCCAATGCTCTACCAACTGAGCTACTGTCGCCCCACACATCAAGGCATGCATATCATATCATATCCGCGCTCCTTATAGGCTAAGTGGGTTAAGTGTCTTGCCCAAGGACACAACAACAGCAGGCATCAGTGGGAGTCGGTGGAGAAGGTCCCGTGGTGGGCTCGAACCCACGACCTTTGGGCCCAAAGGCCAATGCTCTACCAACTGAGCTACTGTTTATTATTAAAGACCTTATGACGGGTGGATATCAAAATTGCATGACAATGTCAATTTGAAAGAGATTCCGGCAAAAAAAATCCTATATTTTATAAAAAGAACGTGTTTTTCATGAATTTAAGTTGTCTATGCTCTAACCTGTGTGTGACGTCATAGCGGGTAACGCCCATGCATTGAAAACCATGGATCTATGCCACAGGACTGCCTTTTCTCTCTTCTCTCCACTGATGCCCAACACAATACTGCCCTCTACAGGTGACAACTGCTCATTACACATAAATTGCCATTTTGAGTGTGAAAAAGTGTCCGAGGTGGGATTTGAACCCAAGTATCTGGATTGGCAGTCCATCGACACAACCACTGGACTATCTCAGTGACAACGAAATGTGACATTCTAGTAGTTATCTTAGACTCGCTGTACACGGCCTTGTCATCTTGAATCCGCGAAAAAAGAACGAATACCAAATTGTAAACAACTCACAGCGTTGAAACGTACCCGTTCTGACGTCACCAAGGGCTGTGAAGTTTTTTCGTTTCTAAGGGCGTTGCTATGGGGTTATTTCGATTTGGGAGAATCAGACAAAAAAAACAACTGATTTTGAAACCTTTAATAGTTCTCTTCTAATATAAAATGGTATTAAAACTGTATTTCTAAATAAATCAAACCCGTCATAAGGTCTTTAAGTAGTACTTCCGCATCGGCGAACACACTTGAAGCAGTTGCATAAAGTCACGGGAGCATGACAACTCACATGTTCACAAGCACTGTGTCTCCCATTGTCAACCCTGGTTTAGTCCTGGTTTAGTCCCTGTTTAGTCCTGGTTTAGTCCTGGTGTAGCTCCTGTTTTGGCTGTTTACAGTATGTTCAGTCTGCTCGCTCAGACCACTAATGTCCCCGTGACCACTTTGCTGCTCTCTGATTGGTCGCTGTACAAGTGTCCCGAGCAGTTTGTGTGTGCATCCCGAGACGCACGTGCAGTTCGACGCTCAAACGCACGTCACCGTTGACTTTGCATCGAAAGTTGACGCAACGCATGATCCGGTCTGAACGCGGCATAAAATCTCATACAGACAACACCAGAAGAGAAACCCATGAAGGTTGTGGGTTCAAGCCCACCACGAGACCTACTTCACGACTCCCACTGATGACTGCTGTCGTTGTGTCCTTGGGCAAGACACTTAACCCCACTTTACCTGAAGCCCCCACTGAAAGATCAAGGCCCCTGTGGACTCACCGCCTGCAGGAGGATCAGTGAGGGGCTGGTGCTCTGTGGACTGGGTGCAGCACTGACTTTCACCCCCTGACCCAGAAATGGATTAAGGGGAATAAAATGGATGGATGGACATTCATTCATGGGTTTCAACTTCTGGCTATTTCCCGATTGAAAAAGACGCATCTGTCATAAACGTGTAAAAATCAATTATGTGTATAGCCCTACATCACACTTTTAAATGCCTAGTCTGGGTAAGACATTATACAACAGTGACACGTGGTTCTATATTGCACAAATATAGGAATAATAATATAATTTAATAATGTATTTAAACACAAAATTACAAGCAACAGGACCTTTGCATATTATCAGCTTCCAGGTGAGTGAGGAAAGATAGACATGGAAGGTAAACAGTTAGAAAGAACAAATAAAAGTCAGGTGTAAACTGATAATTCACTAGTAACTTTGTCACTAGTCACTTTACCTGTTATCAGTACTACTACAGTATTATTTCATATCTGATAATTCTGCCTTCCACCGTCACTTTACCTGTTGATATCTTACTGTATTATTCATATCCATCTGATAATTCTCCCATTCAAGTCACTTTACCTGTTGATATTATTTCTGATGTTTATTCTCATATTCTCCGCTGCTAAAGTATAATATAGACATCTGTAAATACTCCGAACCAAGTGCAATTATAGCCCAGATTTTCTTATTTTATTTTATTTTATCTTAAACTTATTGTCTATTATCTTAAATAATAGACTTTGATGTGTGCAATCTGAGTGCTCTTATTTCCTTTCTCTGCTGTAATGTGCAACGATGACACTGACATTTCTCCACTGTGAGACTAATAAAGGTTTATCTTATCTTATCTTAAATTCAAAAGGGAACCATGGGGAAAAAAATCTAAAATTACTTATAGAGAACCTTGTATTCAATTAGTACAAGGTTTTATTATATCATTTTTTGCAAGAATCAAAGACTTAAAATAAAAATCCTTGGCTTTATCTCCATTTAACATTTAGATCACGGAGACGGTAGATTCTTGAGAACCGCAGTCGTGTTGCTGCGTCACGATCGAAAAGCCACTGCTGCAAACTGATGATGCAGCAGTTAATGCAATATTCATGTCTCTCTGAATCCCACGGACGGCAGGATGCGTCCGGAAACAACCGCCACCCCTCTACATACGGAAAAACTATCACTTCGAAAAGACTATATTTAGTACAGGAAGCAATGCAGTAACATTTATTTTAGTATATTTCAGGGTATCAATCAGGAAAAACGTTTGAATTGAAGGAAAAGACCTTTTGTGCAGGCGACACTACAAGTAAAACAGAAGCGGGCCTGTATAATTTACCAGTTGTGGAGGCCCCGCTGAGCTAGCATGTGAGGCTTAAGTGGCCACAGCAAAAGGCAAATTAGGGGTCAGGTCCAGTAAAGGGTATATTTAGTCTGCCTCTGGTGAGCGCTTTAAAAACAACACGCCCTTTCCCCGGGTCACGTGGAGCTGGATCCATCTGAAACACCGCTCTATAAAAGCAAACACACACACACGGACGTACACACACGCACACATACACACACACTGGAAGCACAAGGGCCTCTATGTGGTGTTCCCTTCGCTAAAGCAGTCCGTCAGGCTTCCCCCAACCAATCAGAAGACAGACAAGAAAAACGTGTTTACAAAAAGGTGACATAAGTAGAACTATAGAAGTGTGAAAAGCTTAATTTTGGTATAAAAAAGTAGATTTAGAGTTTTAGACTAGCTTCTTTATTATGCTAAAGCTAGAGATTTTATACTAGCTTCTTTATTATGCTAAAGCTAGATACTTTATACTAGCTTCAATATTATGCTAAAGCTAGAGATTTTATACTAGCTTCTTTATTATGCTAAAGCTAGATACTTTATACTAGCTTCAAATTGAAGCTAGTATAAAGTATCTAGCTTTAGCATAATATTAAAGCCTAGATATTATGCTAAAGCTAGAGATTTTATACTATCTTCTTTATTATGCTAAAGTTGGACATTTCATAGTTATTGTTCATTTATCTTGTCCTGTGTGCTCCTCATTACTCTTCTGTAACTGGTGATGCAACACTGACATTTCCCCACAGTGAGATCCAAATAACGGATCTCTGTCTCATTTTAAATCTTCTGTTAAAAGGCGGCAAAAGCTGAGAGTGTGTTCTTCTTGTGGGATTGTCTGGGTTAAGTCATAGACCTTTCTCTCGGCCCAGTTTCCTTTGCGACTGTAATGATAGCGAGCAGGATTTGGGGCGTATAATCTAGAACTATTTTAAGAAAACCACAGGGGTTGGAGTTGAGGTCCAGCTCCGGCGGCCTCGGGGTTGGAAGCCGGTGTGGAAGGGTAGCAATTATTGGGGGCAGGTGTCCACGGCAAGACAAACAGACCATTATTCTGAAATATATATATATAAATAAATACTTTTCTTGCTATGTCTGCCGTCTCAATGTGACAACTCCAACCACTCAAACATTTTAGCTAATGTCAGACCCTCATGCTGCGAACATAATAATAATTCTTCTTTATAATGCTAAAGCTAGGGATTTTATTAGCCTGGCCATAGCCATCTGTAAACTCTGGTCCATGATCATTTCCTACATGTATGTCTGGTCTTACCATGTGTAAACTCTGGTCCATGGTCATTTTCT